TGATGCTTCTTATTCATTTCACTATGTATGAAAGCATAACTGTTTAACAAGTCTACAAACCTGTATGAAGCAAGTATTACAACAAATATAAACTCGCAATGATAGGTCATTTTTCGGATTTACTACAGAGAATTAACGGCAAGAATATTCTCTTTTAATACTGACTGATGTATCTATAGCAACGGTCAATTTAAACCGACGTAAAGCCAAAAACTCGCCTTTTTCAATCGTGTATGTTGGTATTATAATTAATATGTTTAGACAGAAAGGCAATAAAAAGGTTGTTTTACACAAGCATTATTTATCAAGAAATGTAACTTTTTCAACGACCGGAAGTAATCAGGATTTACGAAGGAAGTCATTAGTCACTGCCACAGTAGCGTAGGTTACAGGTCGGTGTACCACTGAAGCGGTAAACGTAGAAAGAGCCGCAGTTTCTCACTTCAATGTTGGTGGTTTTCCAACAACATTTTGAAACCCAGTGAAAGCAGACCTGCCTGGTGACTTTGCCATCAGCCACTGTAGGATGACCACCATTTAACCAGCCGGGTGCATTAGTGTTACACCTGAATTTAGGTGGACATGAAGTAGGCATTCTAGTTCCCGCCGCTCCTTGGAAACGATACCAGCCTTTGAGATTTAAGTCACACTCAGTGGACTGAGTGTTGTACGTGGTTTTTCGGTCACCGCTGGTCAGACTTGAGTAGCTTGTACATTCTACAGCTAGAATTAAAAGTTGAAGATTTTTGAATCAGTTGATGTAGCTTGAGATAATACAGAAAAGTTTTAAATATCTCATCAGCCAAAGGTAAAATATATTCCGGAATTTCAAAAACCATTTAAACCGCATTCATTAATACAAGGAGACTGTATAAGCAAGGAACTAAATCCTAAGTTAGAGCTGCAACTTTGAAATAAATCATTCATGTATCTTATACATGTTTGGAATCATTGCCCTTTCAAATCAAGAAAAACTACTCATGGGTTGTCAATTATCAACGAATTCTAGTCTGTCCACAGCCATTCCTTGTTTTCTTCTTCGTAAAAACTGAGTGCGCGTGGCGAGCGCGCGAGATTGGTTCGCCCGTGTTTAATTCTCAGCCCTTTTCTATTGCTCGCGCCCTCTACGAGTTAGAGCTGAAATAGAAGGTCTGTCTACAGAGTGCTTCACTGACTTTTTCATTAATATGGAATTGTTTCTTATAGTTGTGGCCCGTGAAAAAAAAAAAAAAAATTAATTAATAATAGTAGTAGTTTCTGATATAATCCAGAAGCTGGTCTACCAGCCCTGCGAGAGGAGCATATTACCCACGTCCTTCCCACCAATAAACAGGTCCTAGCTTGTTAACAGAGTGTAGCCGGGTATAAGTAACTTAATGATCTTTAACTTCTTGCTTTTCATGACGACATTGAAGGACCGAGTGCAACCTTCTGGTGAAGTTTATTTCTAGTAATTACATTCACGATACCATTTGCATTGTAATCTGTTATTAAGAGCAGCTTCGCCTAAGTATCAACTTGACTTGGAAATAGTGAAAAAATCGAATTTCTTCAAACTCGCCCAGAATGAAACCCTACGGGCACTAGTTACAAAAATATCGTTT